CACGTGGCATATACCGATAGGGTTGCAAACACGGAAGCAAACTAGGAGCCAAGTCATAGCCATATAAGGAGTTGTTTTTCTTACAGAGAGCACTCCTCACTGGGAAGACGGAAGGCGGGAGCCAGTAGCATCTTTGGTCGCAGCCGCGCCATGCGGCCGCACCATTTTTGCGGCCGGGCCGCGCCGTCTTTGGTCGCGGCTCCCGCAGCTCTCCACACAGGGTGATATATAAGGATCTAGCTTTAGTTTTCTACAGGTGTTTAACCAATTTTGCCAACACCATTTACTGAAGAGTCTGTCTTTCTTCAGTTCTATTTTATTAGCTTCCTTATTGAAGATTAGGTGGCTGTTGATCTGTGGGTTCATTTCTGGGTCTTCAGTTCTATTCCATTGGTCCTGAGGTCTGTTCTTGTGCCAGTACCAAGCTGTTTTGATTACTATGGCTTTGTATTAGACTTTGAAATTTGGTATTGATATTCCTTCAGCACTGTTCTTTCTGTTAAGGATTGTTTTTGCTATTCAGGGTCTTTTATTGTTCCATATAAATTTTTGATTGCTTCTTCTATTTCATTGAAGAATGAGGCTGGAAGATTGTTAGGTATCGCATTGAATTCATAGATAACCTTTGGAAATATTGCCATTTTTATGATGTTGATCCTCCCAATCCAGGAGCATGGGAGGTTTTTCCACTTCATAAGTTCTGCTTTAATTTCCTTTTTCAGGTTTTTAAAGTTTTCATCATAGAGGTCCTTCACTTCTTTACTTAACTCCTAGGAATTTTATTTTTGGTGGGGCTATTACAAAAGGAGTTGCTTTCCTGATTTCAGCTGAGCTCTTCTCATTGTTGGCATTCAGAAAAGCCATTAATTTTTGAGGGTTAATTTTTTTTTTTTGTCAGTTGTGGGGCCTGAACTCTGGGCCTGGGCGCTGTCCCTCAGCTCTTCAGCTCAAGGCTAGCACTCTACCACTTGAGCCACAGCACAACTTCCAGCTTTTTCTGCTTATGTGGTACTGAGGAATCGAACCCAGGGCCTCACGCATGCAACGCAAGCACTCTACCACTGAGCCACCTTCCCAGCCTGAGGGTTAATTTTATACCCCACTACTTTGCCTGGCCCAGGCCTTTGTCTTAATTGACCAAAAAAAGCAATGTGGAAAGCAACTCACTGTTCCTTATAGTGTTCTGAGCAATCTGACAAATCTCTGTAGGGAAGTCCTGGGAATCCATTGAGAAAAGACTTCCATCTGAGAGTATAAAAGTGCTTGGGGTGCCTGGGTCTCTCCTGCCCTGAGCTGTGGCAGTTGGCCATCTCAGTAGTGCATTGAAACAGGTGCAATCAGTAACTGATTCTAAAGTCATTTGGACATGGAGAAAGCTACAGACAAGAAACTAATGAACCCAGAGAGCAAATACAATTAAAATAGCACTTAACATTTTCAACCTGACTTAGATCAGGCTGTAGCTGACCACTTTTTGAATAAAAAATTATTCAGGATGATCATGTGGCTTAGTAATGTCTTTCATTGTATTTTTTTTTTTTTTTGCCAGT